GGAAAAAGGACGAACAAGAAGTGGCAATCGGAGATTTTGGAATCGGAGTAAGAAACAAAAGAGGCGAAATGCTTACCAACTTTCTACTGCAACACAAACTGTATGCAATGAACACCTTTTTTAAGAAGAAACAGAATAGAAAATGGACGTGGGCTAGTCCAGACGGAAGAACTAAGAGCGAATATGATTATATAATAACAGACAAAAAGCAAATTATTCAAGATGTCACTGTACTCAATAAACTATCAGTAGGAAGCGACCACAGACCAGTAAGAGCTAGAGTAACGATAAATCTACAAAAAGAAAGAGCAAAGATGATAAACAGTTGCAAACGCATAGTTTGGAATTCACCAAATCATTCAGAAGCATACATAAAAAATATAGCCGAAACTTTACAGAGTAATAATCCCAAACCTCTAAGTATCGACGATCACAATAAATTAATATCAGACTCGGTTAGAAATGCACAACTCAAATTTTGCAAAAAAAATGACACCAAAAGTGAAAAGATTAGCAAAAATACAAAAGCTCTCATGGAAATACGACGAAACCTAAGCGAGAACGAAAAGGAAACAAAGAAGAATATAAAAAACTAATGAAAAAAATTTCAGCGGAAATTAGAAAAGATGTAAGAAGATATAATACTAATGTAATTACTCAAACAGTAGAAGAGAACAAAGGTTTAAAGATAATGAAAAGAAAACTAACACAAAGTACAAAAGAAATATACAAGCTGAGAGATAAAGACGGAAAGGCAACAACAGATAAACAAAACATTCTGAAAATAACCAGAGAGTTTTATAACCATAAAATATATCCATATAACCATAAAATATTAAAAAATATATTATAATTTTATTATAGTAGAAGTTTTCAATTGTAATATTATTATTTATATTTGTAAAATCGCTAAATGTAAATTTACGTTATCGGAGTTAGCTGGTTTACACTTTAAGCCATCGATATAAGTATACACTTACCACTTTTGTGCACTACTTCATTGTACATACCACACCAGGCTGATTATAATGTTACCTGTTTAAACAGAAAAATAAATGATAAAAAATAAAACCAAATTAAAATGGACTAGCATTTAATTATAAAAAATTGTACCAAATATTATTTATTCATCTTCGGAATCCTTCTCTTAAAACATGAGTATTTCGAGGCAGAGAATAATAAAAATTTTCATAATCCGGTAGGATTAGGGTAAACATACCATTTATTGGACACTGCCAGTTATTGGACGTACCAATTATTTTATCTGAAAACAAGAATTCTGTATTCAGTAGTGAGCTAAGTTTTGTTCAGATGTCGCCTTGTACTATTAATATCCACATTGACGTAAATAACATTTGATTGACGTTTCTGTTTTGCCGCCAAATGAAAAGTTCTTTGGTTATGCACCAAAAAGACGGTTTTCTTAACCCTATTTTAAGAAACCTTGGTGAATTTTAATGTTATCTTAGTGGTGAAATTGTATCACAATGCTCCTCATAAATATACAAGTTAGTGGTAGAGTGAAAGTAAGTATTTTTAAGATTTAATCACCATATCTAAGTCTAGGTTATGTATTAGATGGGTGTCCAATAACTACAACTAACATATGAGTATTTTCAGTTATTGGACAGATGTCCAATAACTGCATTTTGCACAGTTTATAAAGTTTTTGTGTTCATACAGTGAAATATTCGTGCATCTTCTCTGTTTCTGGCACTTCAATTTTGGTTTCAATATTCGCAGTATAGCCTCTTTAATTAAAGAGGCAGCAAATAATATTCTAGGGCCAGAAAGACCACCACCACGTAATGACTGGTTTGATGCTGAGTGTGAGGACATTACAAGAAGAAAGAACGATGCATATAAACTGATGCAACAAAGAAGAACCCGAGAAAAACAGCAAAAATATAAAGATCTCAGAAAAGAAGAGAAGTGCATTCATAGAAGGAAAAAGCGAACTCACGAAAATAGAATATTGGAAGAACTTGAGGTATTAAGAAAGGAAAACCAAACAAGAAAATTCTACAAAACTCTGAATAACGCAAGAAAGGAATTCAAACCAAGGCTCAGACTATGTAAGGATAAGGAGGGGCATATACTAAATACAAAAGAAGAAGTACTGAAAACTTACTTAAAGAACAACTTACTATAGAAGTAGAAGATCCAGATCAACCACCCGGAGGAGCAAGCAACAATTCACCATTAGAACCTCCATCAATTCAAGAAGTACGAGATGCAATAAAACACCTAAAAAACAATAAATCTCCAGGAAGTGATGGTATACCCGCGGAACTTATCAAATGTGGAGGTGCTTCTGTGACTAATCAAATATATAAAGTAATACTGAGAGCCTGGAATCCCTTTAAAAACAACAGACCTGGTGATAGTTGGTTAAAGGTAATAGGTAATAAAGGATATTTGTAAAATAGAGGTGACTTAAATAGCACTTTATATTTTCTTCTTCTTCTTAAGGTTCCATCTTCTAACGAAGGTTGGATATCAACATGGCAATTCTTATTTTACTTACAGCAGCTCTAAATAGTTGGCTAGAGCTCAGACTAAACCATTCCCTTAGATTTCGTAGCCAGGAGGTTCGTCTTCTTCCTACATCTCTTTTACCTTTTATTTTGCCCTCTATAATCAAACGTAGTAGCCCATAACGAGGACCTCTTAATATATGACCGAAATATTCAAGTTTCCGCCTCTTAATTGTCTGTACAATTTCTTCCCTCTTATTAACCCTATCAAGGACTTCAATATTGGTAATTTTGTCTACCCATGCTATTCGTAGCATCCTTCGATAACACCAACGCTCAAAAGCTTCCAATTTCTTAATCTCCAGTTGTTTCAATGTCCATGCCTCAGATCCGTAGAGCAAAGTTGTAAAAATGTAGCAGCGCAATAACCTTATCCTTAGATCCATTCTTAGGTCTCTACTACACAATAGATGTTTCATTTTTACAAATTTTGCCCTTGCTATTTCTATACGGCTTTTAATCTCTTGCGTTTGTTCTGCGTTTTGACTAACCAATGTTCCTAGATATTTGTATTTATCTACCCTTTCTATCTGGATATTATTAATATGGAGTGTCTCGTTGTCTTTTGGATGTTTTGTAATGACCATGAATTTTGTTTTCTTTAAGTTCATTTTAATACCATAATAGGTTTTATTTTATAAAAAATAAAACCTATTATGGTATTATATTTTAGGCTTTCCTAAAAAGACATCTAACAACTGTGCAGCGAACAAGTGAAGCAGTAAGTGGTGCAAGCGCTTGTGTTTCGGAAGCAGACATTCGAAAATGGTTCAAAGATATAAACAGTTATCTTGTTTCCAAAAATTTAATCATTAATGACCCTTCAAGAATTTACAATGGCGACGAATCCGGTTTTCAGATTTACCAAGAAACTGGCAAAGTTTTTGCAAAAAAGGCGCGAAAAATGTTTATTCTGTGGAAAAGGGATCGTCTAAGGAAAGCATCACTGTCATGTTTTCGTTTTCTGCATCCGAAATAATTTGTGCACCTATGATCATTTATCCTTACAAGAATTCCAGAAAAAATAAGCCAGACTGTCAGAGATCCTGATTGGGGCATTGGAAGATCCGATAATGGGTGGATGACGACAGAAACGTTTTATGATTATGTGAAAAATGTATTCCATCCATTCTTGCTAAAAAATAATACACATATTTAGATGGATATAAGTCTCATTTAACTTATAAGTTAAGTGGACTTTGCAATGAACTGAACATTGAAGTTATAGCCTTATATCCGAATGCAACCCAAATTCTTCAACCTTGTGATGTTGCAGTATTCAGGCCCGTAAAAGTGGGATGGAAAAAGACCATCAGAGAATTTTACGAACAAAATCCTGGAGAAGTTGTAAATAAAATGACATTTGCTCCACTATTGGAAAAGTAGTGGCGAATAATATTAAGAGGGACACTTTAATTAATGGATTTCGTGTGTGTGGTTTATTCCCTTTCAATCCAGATGCAGTTGATTACACCAAATGTTTGGGAAATAAAAAAGAGCGTCCTCAGGTAATATTATAAAAACTTTTTTATTTACCTATAAGCTAATAACACATTTTTAGGTAAAAAATCTACTCACTCGTATGGAGGACCATACAACATTCGTCAGTTTGGCTTGAGAAGATTTAATCAAAAGATTTCAATATTTTTATGATCTTTTGGTTAAGGAAGGCATTACTGAAGAATTTTTGACTTTATACAAAATATGGAATTATTTTGAAAAACCAGATTCGTGGCCAGATAATAGAAAAGTTGACTTGGACATGAGAGATGTGCCAGAATCATTCAATAATCAGGTATCGAACTCGACTGAGACTGAACCTGGACTAGATCCACCTAATCTTGCACTTGTGCAACCTTCAGATGCATCAGAAATTAAAATAAATTTGGATGCTGAATTAAATACATCTGAAAATCAAGTTTCAAAAGACCAAAAAATTAATACAACACAAAATATTGTCATAAAATCTGGTAAAGACATTATCTATAGTTTGCCATCTACTAGTAAAAGTATAGGTGACTACTTAATAGTTCCAGAAAAATCAACAAGAAAGAATAAACGTAATACCGAAAGAGTTTCATTTGCTATGACATCAAGAGAGTATCAAGAGAGTTTTGAAAAGAAAGGTTCCTTAAAATTAGAATTAGAAAATGAGAAATTGGAGAAAAAACGAAAAAGAGAAGAGAGTGCAGCAGAAAAAGCTTTAAAAATACTGCCCGAGATACCGACAAAAATAATTCATGTTTTCTGTGCAAGGTTCAAACAGTAAAAAATAATTACCTAACATGTAATAGCTGCAAGAAAAGAATTTATCGACGGTGTGTTCCGAAAAAATATAACGTTCATGTTCCTGAAAAGAGAAATGAGGATTTATTTGTGTGTCATATAGAAAATGAAGAAGACGGCGAAATGTATAATGAAAAAGAACTTGACAATAGAATATGTAAAAGATTAAAAAAATAGAAAGCGAAGAGGATATCGAAACAGATTATCAAACAGAATCCAACTTCAAAATACGTGAGGAGCCGAAAAAAATAGAAAGCAATAATTATTGCTCCGATCAAGAACCAAAAGACTTTTGCAATAAAAAAGATAATGAAATAAATGTTCAGAAAAATGACAGCAATTTGTGCGAGGAACCAAAACAAATAGAAAGTAGCCAAGGTAATGAAACCAACAACAAAGTTTATAAAAACCCGAGAGAAATAGAAAATGGAGAAGGAATCGGAACAGACCATCAAATAAGAACTGAGAGCAAAATGTGTGAGAATTAAAAAATGGCAAGTGAAGAAGATTTTGAAGATTATGGAACAAAAGTGGGCCATGTATTAGAAAATAATTCAAATAACGACATGGACGTCGAAGAACTTTTTAATCTATACCAAAATGAAATGAAAAAATATAAGTGATTTATAGTACCTAGGTAGATTTGATAAAAGTTTTTCAACATTGATTTCAACTTTTTATTTGTCTTTAATCATTACCTTGACAGTGTCCAATAACTGAAAATTTTGTGTCCAATAATTGAATTGTTTGTCCAATAACTAACTTTTTCGTAACCGTTCAGGTGTTTTTAAGTTTTCTAAAAAATCTGTTATATTAGGAATATTTAAAATCCGTTAAAATATCATATATATGTATACTATAATGTGGCATAGCAGAATAATATCCGTTGAAAATTACACCAGCGGCAGCGACTTGAAATCGAAAAAAGCGTAACTGTCCAATAACTGGTATGTTTACCCTACTCGGTTCTCAAGAGATAGCAAGTTCTTGCTGCCAATGCAGCACCTTTTTGAGATTATCTTCAAACTCAGAGTCACTTTTTTCTCGAGTTTTTTTCTGGCTGATAACCAGTAGTGTCGCTTGAAAATCTAAAAACTCGTCTGCTAATATTGGTAATGGTATATCGCTTGATATTAATGTATAATAAGGTAAATCTGATGGTTTAAAAAAATCGTCTGGCTAATTGGTCTTTACCAAAGCCATCTAATTAAATAAAAAAAGGTAAATCTGAAACTGTAAAGCTAAAATGTATTGATATTTAATCTGAAAGTGAAAAACTAAAAGTGAATTTTTAAGATGAATATCATAACTAAAGTTGGGATTTTATGTAATATGTAAATTATATTTTTTGCATAAAAACAAGCTTTAGTGCATATATCATCACCCTAAAGTGCTAACCTGCTAAGTCCACTTTTAATGTAAAATAATCTTTTTGCATGGTTAGAAAGCTATTTGGCTTTTTTCCATGTGCTGTTAACCACCCAACTCCTAATTATGCCAGAAATACCATCTATTATCTGATAAGAAAACCTGGTAACTGTAAGATTCTGGATTCGCAAAGTTAAATACTGCTAAGTCTTCGGCGTCACGCCATTTCATGTCTAGACTCGCTACGCAAGATAGCAAAATTTTGTCGAGAGTACATTCAAGAGATACAGATTCAAGTAACATCCAGACATACCAAAAAAGAGTAAGAAAAGAAAAAAAAACGTTTTCAAGTGCAGGAATCAAGTTGGTTTGCACAAAAAAATAAACGATTACGGGAAACAGGAAGAGAATATTTAGGCAAGAGAAAAAAAGAAGGAAAATGGAACTATTAAGAATCAAGGGAACCTCGTGCTATGAAACCGAGATGCAAAAAGGGATAGGTGCTATAAAATGTCTGTCCTTGACAGAACAAGACAGACGTCAGATATTTGAAGCATTTTGAAAAATGACCTGGGGAAAAAATACATTTATAAACAGTCATGTTGTTTATCTTCTCTTAGAGTGTGTAGAACCATGAATACTGAATTTTTAAACTCATTGCATGGAATCACATTACTGCAGAGCTAGTACCCAAAAGAAATAGTTATATGTTAACTAGCTTCGAGTTATATGTTAACGAGTGGTGCAAATTAAAAAAAAGTGAACTGATATCAATAGCCACTTTTTTAAAATGCCTTTGGAAACGAGAATTTTGCCTTGTTCCACCCGAAAAAAGATGAGTGTGAAAAATGCATCTGTTTCAAGAATGGAAGTATTTCAAAATACGGATGAAAAGATGGGAAAGTATGTGTTTACAACCGATTTACAAACAGTGTTGATGGCTCCAAAATCAAACGTCAGTACCTTTATTATAGAACAAAACTACAAGTGCACAAACTGGGATTCTCCAATCTAATAAATAGTAATATAATTTGTTATCTTTGGAATGAAGCCGAAGGTGGTGTAAATGCCCAAGAATTAGCTAGTATTTCGGTATCATTTTTGGAAACACATATTCTTCCTCAATTTGCTAAGTAAAAGAATGAGAATGGGGCCATTACTATTTTTACTGATGGCTGTAGTTATCAAAATCGCAATTGTGTTATGGCCAATGCCCTACTGAATTTAGCAATAAATCATAATATACCAATAGAACAGATATTTCTTGAGCCTGGCCATACCACAAATTGAAGTGGATTCTGTCCACTTAGAACAAAACTAAATATAACAAAAGCTAAAAGATAGTTTTGATAATTTTTGACTTCTTTAAGAAATTCGATGCAGTTCAGTTTTACAAAAGTATCCAACCAGAGAGGGTAAAGGGCGATGCAAAAGTTACCAATGTTCGTGCTATTCGTTATTCACCCGAAGGTAAAATTCACTGTAAGATGAATTTTACAGAAGAATGGACAATCCTTCCTCAAAGAAAATCACTAAATTTTCGTTCATGTTCCTGAAATAAGCTACAAAATCTACACTCAGAAAAGCGCAAAATAACAGTGCGAAAATATGAAGATCTACTAATTATTAAGAAGACATTGCCTGTTGATTACCACCCATTTTACAACGATCTTCCCCATGAATAGTGAAAAAACGTACCGATTAATAGTAGTAATCTACTTTTTCAATAACTTTGATTTAAGACTTGGTTTTCGTTTTGTATTAATAAACTCATTTTATTTTAAAGCAACAAGATCTAGTTTTATTTTAAAAGGTCTTTGAACACCTGTCAAGTCTATTTTTACTACCGCTATGGCGAAAACCTGCTACCCCCAAAATTAGCACTTTTTAGATAATAACCAACATATATCTTGTAAATTTCATCAGCATATTGTACCTAAATAAAGACATTTCTAAATTAATACAGTTGTGAGATTAATATTTTAAACAAAATTGTATTTTTACAAAACATTTTTTGCTCTCCTGTAAAATTAGTTAAAATGGACTTAGCAGGTTAACACTTTAGGGTGACGATATTTCTTTTTTGTACAAAACGAATATTTTTTATTTTTTGAACATAAAATTATACTACACATATTTATGCAAATAACAAAAAATACATGAACAAGTTTAAATACACATTTGTACAATAAGGTTTAAGATTTCCAATGAGGCAAGGGTACATGCAACAATTATTGTGTATTATACACTTTTCATATTCAGTGAAGTTATCACATTTCGGCTGTTAGAAAATCTTAACCGGTATGAAGTGCATATAAATGGGCCAGAAATGACTTTTTATTATTTTCATCTATAGCATTTGCTCCGTCCTTATGGCGACCACGCATACCTCCAGATATAAACTTCTACCTTCCTAAATATCATTTTTTTTTAACAGCGTAGTTAACCTCATAAAGTGTCCAAAAATGTTTTTTAACTTAAGAGTCTGTATTCATATGTCCAGTTTCTTTATAAAGATAATTTATAATGTCGTGGACCTACGTAATCATTTAGTGACGTCGATCTGCGAACGTAATAATGATGTCAGGCATTACAAAAGAGATGCAGTTCTCTTCAGCGCGTTATCGTAGCGAAACAGAGACGAACCAAAAATTTAACTTAACGATGCAGTAGCAGTAAACAAACCAAGACACGTTATCAACATTATGTATATTACGAGGAGCAATCCCAAATCATGATTTACAATGTATAAACGTACATAATATCCACCTCATAATTTATATAAATAGACATCGTATACGAAACTCAAGTATTAACAGCATACCATATCATTTATTAGTCCTTGTACGCGGAAGAATTGCTATAACTTAGTTGGACCACTGTTGTTCTAGTGATAATATTATAGCCAGGGCGTGCGTCAGGGATTTATAGTGCTTTAATTTATTCATTTATATTTATAATAAATGTTATCATTTATATTTTATGATCAGAAGAATAACAAAGATAAAATTAAATTAATAAATGTTAGAATGAGGTTTTCCAACAACATAATAATGTGATATAGTTATTGTAATGCATTGAATTAATAAAATTAAACTAAATATGGAAAAATTGTTTTAAAATTAAATGTAATATCTAATGGCGGTTTCCCACCAAACGGCCAAAATAAAAACAAAACACAAACTCGTGTAAAATATAACAAAATAGCAACTTTTTACAAATTTTTTAAAGACTGGCGTGTTTTGAAACAGTTCGTTTTGTTTTTGAAGCTCGAGTCTGTTTAGTGGAAACGGTCAGTTGTGTTTATTAATGGACTACTTCACCTCTGACGTCACACTGGGCGGGGCTTCGAAACCCTTTTTAAACATTTCTAAACTAAATACAAAATAGAGATGCAGTAAGTATAAATAAACCGTCAATAGTATGAATGTTACGAGGGACACTCCCAAATCATGATTTTAACGATGTATAAACCTATACTTTCCTGTATTACGAAATACATATGAAAATATGAAGTAGACATCGTAGCATAAGTTGCGGCCGACGGTACGATTTATAGTCATTGTACGCGGTAGGATTTAATGTTTATTCACAATAGTCAAAAGCTTGATTTTAGAACTGAATTGTCAAAACTTTTGATCACAGCCACTTTTGAATATCCGCCTTCTTCAACTCGGTTGCCGATATTTATTAAACGAAGAGGATATAACGAATATATTAAGATAGCAAAAACATGGCGACTACCAAAAGGGCACTACACAGGATCTTGATTATATAGAACGTACGAGATATCATTAGGCACTATGAATGAAAATAAATTTACTGTACACAAATTTTGATTTATTGACGGCCACTGGAAGGCCACTGGCTGAGTTCAAAATAAACAACTGATCGAATCCTAACATGCGACGTAGAAAATGAAAGGGGATGGGATAAAGATAGACAAAACAAACAAGACGACTACCACAACGGCACTACACAGCATCTTCGTTATTAATAGACGTATAGTTACATACAAGATATTATAAGACATATGGATGAAAATAAATATACTATAAAACAAATTTTTGATTATTGACTCAAGGAAGGCCTCTGGTTGAGTTTAAAATAAACAACTAAT